ATATATTAGGTAACGCATTTTATTAGGGTTTTATATTTAACAGTACAACATACCCGGAGCACGATAAAATATTAGTCAGTGTTGAGAGCATGCTTCTTAAAATAATGCCTTTAACTTCCAGCATAATAATAATTATGGGAAATACATTCATGTGGAATTACCTCATTCATTTTTACGTCATATCACCAACAGACGTTTATGTAACGTTAATTTGAAAAAGTCTGTAGCAAAATACGTAACAGCAGTGCTATTTTGAAAACGCCCAAAATGGCGGCGTCAGATGAAAATGCGGCGCAACGCAATGTCACTGATTACTATGTTAAGTTGAAGAAGCGTCCAGCGTTAATTGACAACATGGAGAACATTATATTTTATCAAGATAATGCACCTTGCGATAGATCTAAGGAGACACAGATTGAACATGATGTGATAGGTTTTCAGAGACTTCCGTACGCCCTAAGACTTTGCTGTGTTTCTTTATTTGAAATCACAATTACGAGGTCACATGATCGAAAACTTCAGCGAACTTCGCCAGGAAACTCAACTCTGCGAGTGTTGAGTACATTGAAGCAGGACTGTTTTGCAAACGTTTATGATAAAATTGGGTTACCCCACACTGTCAGTGCTTCGCGAAACACGGTGAATACTTTGATTTTTTTTTTAAAAATGATATAACGTCATGACGTTTATGACGGCGTGCGCCGGGTATGTATAGGTAGCATTCTTTAAATTTTGATAACTTGGTCAATTTTGGAGGTATTTTGATTTTATTTTGCATAGACACACATCAAAGGTGTATTGACTTTTCCCTAGCTGGAGGACTCAATTGTATTATAATTGATTGAGTAACAGGCTTTGTCTACGATATTTTGGGACAACCCTCGTATATGGGACGAAATTAATTCAATATCAATACTCAAAACTAAGTGGTATTTAGTATAATTTTATTGAGGACACCTCAAGGTTACTAAGCCCCCTCCTAATCTCACAGATTCTCAACTTTCCTGAGTTCACTCGACACTAAATACTTTATAACCTGAATACCACTTTACTGAAAGTTGAGGACTGTCTTGACGTTAGGCAATTATTTAGGATTTACTCAATGAGTGTGAGTGTAAGTATCGATTCTGATTACGGGCCTATAATATTGCCGAGCTATTATCATAAAACAAATTTTTAACATTTTATTAATTTAAATGGAAGTTTTTTTATTGAGGTATTTAGTCAAAAGAATGTATATGCATTTAATATATAACATTGGTCTGTCTTAATACTTTAAGACTTAAATTGCAGGTCAAAGTTTGAAGCTCTTACATAATATTTGCCTTAATTTAGATTCCTGAATGTTTGAACGTATAATTTCCAAATGGTTTTATTACAATGTATGTATATTCTAAGTGTTCAACATATGCTATCCAGCCTAAAATGGCATACATCAAAGAAAATTACTTTTATTTATCTACGCAAGACAATTGAAACAGTAAATAAGGCACAACCCTTATGTCTTGATGTATTTAATGATATTATCAATATCAATGTTGAAAATTTTATCACCCAGACAATAGGTGTTCGAATGGATATATTATCACTTTGAGAAAATCATTTTATTACTCTTTGTTTATAGATGTTCAGGATCTTATAGATTTACATAAAAGATGTCCTAAAAAAATAGTGTCTCTGGAGATCACATACATTGTAATATATTAATAATTATAAAATTGATGTGTCAGATAAAAGTATATATTATGATCAAGAGTTTAAAGGCCCATTATGCCTTAAAAATGCAATAATTTTTGTTTCTCAAAACTATCTTTGGTATCTAATGTTACAGTCTCAAAAAAAACAAAAACTCCTTGTTAGGGACATAAGATTATTAATTTTTTTTTTTTAAATCACTGCCTTTATTTGATTGAAATAACATGCATTTTTCAAAGTATAAGATGACATTTTTGCTATATATCAGTGGCGTAGCTTCCTTTAGGCACTGTGCCTACACTTTTTCCTCAGAAATGAAAAATTAAATTATTACAAAAATGCAATAAAAATTTAAGGGTACTGTAAGGGCGGTAGATGTGTAGGTTCTAATTTTAGAAAATGACCTGTCACCTTATTTGAAAATATATCGAGTTTTATTTTTATAACAAAAGTGTTGCTGTGTTATAAAGTTGCTCTGTGGTAAAACCTATCAGAGACGGATAAAGTTTTTGACAATATAAAAGTTTTTTAGCGGTTCGATTCAAAATATAAATATTACAAGTTATGCAAGACCAGGATAGGCCATATCTAGATATCGGTAATGCTAGCTTTATACAACTGATGAGGAAGCAAAGCGATATCTTTCGAATGAAGCCTTGACATCTTTTCTTTTATATTCTCTTCCTTCTTAATGTATTATGATTTAATTATTTAAACGTTATTCAAACTGCATCTCCGTCAAATCTTGAACACAAAACACAAAGTAGAATTGAAACCTGGCAAGTTCATAAATTTAAGTCACTTTGAAGTAAACGTGAAACTTAATCTGTGTTATTACATAATTTTTTTTAAATGTATTTTAATTATATATTATATATACAAGTAACGTGTTCGAATACAATAATTATTATCAAATTCTGCATCAATTAACGTAGTGGTGTAGAGTGCTTTTAAAGCTAGCGATGCAATTCTTTTTTTATTTATACTTAGTTGAAACTTTATTTATTCATTAAATTGCACATAAAGTAACATTTACAAACATTTCAAAACAATGTAATCCAGACAAATAAAACAATACCTCTCCAGCTAAAGTAATTTTCAAAATAAAGATACAAAATTGTTGCGGATAGAATGTTAATAAAGCTCTTTGAAAGTACAACGAAAAATAAGATAATAATTGATTGTTGAATTATCACTATAGAGAGACTTAGGTAACTTGTGGAGATATTAGAAGAAAGGAAGAATGTAAGGAAAGACATGATTGAAAATATCCGATTCAATATTTCTTAAAATAAACAATCATGTAAATGAATATGAGCGTTCTGACATGCTAAGTTCATTCACACTGATAGTAATTCTTACAATTATGAAATAGATTTTTGAACATTCTGAAACTACTTCGCGCGAAATAGTTCATTCAAATTACAAAATAGTTTGATAATAAAAGCTATGTTCTATATATGTTTCACCATAAACAATAAAAAGAGGCTTTCATTCATGAATTATGGGAGCATTAAATCTTATTGAGAAAATGTATCCGATGCTGTTTGTGTGACATTAGATATTTCATCATCAATTGGTATTTAAATACGGATTGTCTGGTGTAGCAATGTGTTATTAGGTGTGCTTTGGCAGATCTTGTTGATCTTTGTTTTTATCATTTTCTAATCATATATTTAGACAACCTTATTTTGAATATTTAAATTTTGATATTTGCTTCAAAATTTGCATAAATTTATTCTTTTTAAATGTATAGTTCTGGATTTATATATCATTACCCCAAAGTTATTTACGGAAAAAGCTCTTTTTGCCAAAATGTTACAGCTAGTGGCTTTGCGTTGAGTTAGTGATATAAGTATGGTCATCTTTATATTGATGGAAAAATGTATCTAAAATGCAGCAAATATATGAATTCTCTTCCTTCAGAACATGCCTAAACATACCCCAGAATGCAGCTATGGCAATGTAGATTTTCAAAAATTTTCGGGGGAGCATGTCCCCGAACCCCCCTAACACAAGTGCCTACACATTGGTTTCTTTCAAGCTACGCACCTGTATATAAAAAAAATGTCATGTTATCCTTTGCAAAATGTGTGTTATTGGAAGCAATACATATATCTTTAACACTTAAGGCTGAATATAAATGTTAATTTGTATGAAAAATAACAATCAAACCGAAACAACAATATTCTCTAACATATTTGCTATAGACATATTACATGTATATCAAGTGGAATTTGAATTTTCATTTTTTTCCTAAATACATAAATATTAAATACATGTATAATTATATACATGTATGTTCAGTTAAGAACATTAAGTGTCTTTTAGAGAAATCTTTATCTTATCAGTATTTGATGTTCATATCTGGAGTATTATCTCACAAAAAAATGTATTCTTTCAAGTTTATTTATTGGAGTAAATAAAACTCTTTTTAAGTCCTAATGTTACATTTGTTTTGCTTTGATTTAAACAAAAAAAATCAACAAGAATTTATATCCTGTTTAATTAAATAAAATTAGGTTTACAAAATAAACAGACTATATTATATACTATAACAATGCCTGTTGAAAAATCTTTTGGTCTGTTTTCATGTCTTAATGAAAACTTAAAATTTTGAAAAGATATTGTTAGAAGTTGATTTTCAGTACTTAAAATATAGTAATATGCATCTTAAATTCAATTATCAAAGCAGAATGGAATTATTGTTTTACGAACATGGACAAAATATTGCTACTTGAACGAAATAATTATAAATAGACATTTGAATTTCTTTCACGAGAGACCTTCAGTTTGTAGTGCCATTATAAATATATCAAATAATGTGATATCCCGATAAGCAAAGACGTTTCAATCATAAAACTTTCGAAATCTGTTGATTTACTTAGCACAATACATCACCGGGACCTTTGTTGTGATGGGCCATGTTTAATAAACTATTTCCTTAAAATATACAACTAAGATAATACAGAACTTTTCAAACAATTTTTGCCGAAAATACAGAAAATTATCTAGGTCTCCGGTGAAGTATTTATTTTTTATGTGACATTTAAGCCTACCCCCCTATTTGTCAACACTTGTAAGGAAAGATTAAAGATACAGCGTTTGAAAATTTAAACTTAGTGACCCAAAACTCCTATATTTAGAAACACTCTTGTTCAAGATTAAACTATGTTTGAGTTAATCATTGAAACGAAATCTAGGCAAACACCTTTAAAGAGACATAGCTGATTAAATATCATTTCACTGTTACTTTGAAATATTAATTTTATTACCGTTGTTAATTTTTTTGTTTACGATTACAGAATGACATTGTTGATAAGGGATGAGTGGAGAACGGGAGCCTCTACTGAGGCATGCTGGGACATCGGGGAGGTCGAGAGGTTATAGGTCAGCGATGTCACCAATCGAAAGAAATGGTGATGATATAGAGTTTACTGAAATTTCAGTCCCTGAACGATTCAACATGAAGCAATACGTAAAAAAATGTTGTACGTTGGAAGCCGTTAAAGGCAAATTACCAATTACAAAATGGTTACCTAAATACTCGTAAGTCTTCATTAATTGAATAAGAATACCGGATTTTAATTCTTTTAATTAATGTGCGTGTGCATTTTTTTTTTTTTTTAAAGATGAATTAGGTATTAGTTAGTTTATAAATTAAAAGAAACTTAGAACATCCTTTTGATCTAAGGCATTTTTATTCAAAAACTTTTTTTGTGTGCATGTAATTATCATTTTATGATGCTTTTTTTATGATTAAAGTTTTTTTCTCTCTTGTCATTATATTGTTTAAAAAAATCAAATGCTTTCACATTAAATAATGGAAAAAAATAACATTAAAGATTTACGTTTTAAAAAAGAAAATATTGGCGTAAACAGAATCTATTGTATTTAAAGAACTTATATCAAAATTTATGATAAATTCTTTATTAAATGCAATTTTTATCAGAAATGAAAATAATAAACTAAGTGTAGTTTATTCTTAAGAAATGTATCATTAGACATTAGGTATAAAAAAATGGACTTATACATCTAGTAAAGAATAGTGAAATAGTTTACATATAGTAAAGGTATAGTTGTTTTTGTTGTCTTTTAATTACACTTTCATCACAATGTTTCATTTTCATGTATATTGACATTTCAATTTTAATATGGACAGTGGAATAATGTGTAAAGTTACTGTATGTACAATGTAACCAATTGATGTATTACTAAAATATAAAAGAGAAAAAAATAATATTTTAAAACATTTGTATTATTGTTCAGATATGAATTAGTTCACAGATTTGATCAATTATTATTTTAAAAATATTTTGCTCTCATATTTTTTTTCATAACATATTTTCCCTACTTATATAAAAATAAATAGGAGTAGGAAGTTTTTGAATATACGGTTATACTATAAATTTTTATCACAAAACTTAGTACAATCATTGTTTGTCTATATTGCATTGTACATGTACTTACTTGATTTAGGTACTATATCATCATTCCTTTTATAATATTGACAAATGCACTGTTAGAACCACATTAATATGGCACTTATAATAAATCATCAAAAGTATTTGTTTTAAAAATTGCTAATCAACAATGTCTTCAAGTGTCCTAACTTATTATTTCATACTTTATGCTAAACAATTTTGCTATTAAGTGATGTATAAATTATAGAGAGATGAGTACAAATTATAATGATAATTGATTTTCTATAATAAAAAGTACTGTAAATGGGAATTATTAAATTTCTTCAGATAATTTATATGCAATTGCTGCTAATGTTAATCTACATGAAATCACTGGGTTTGTTTTAATAAACCAGGGTCTTTCAAATAGAAATTATATTTTGTAATTGTAAATTTATATTTTAGTTATATCATCTTAGTAGCCTTGCAAAATCTTTTAAAATGAACAACGGAGCAAATCAGTTACAATTTTTATGTTCAAATTTAATAAGTAATTATCCAGGTTTTTTCTCAGTGTTTTTATTACATGTTTACTGAGTACTTTATGTAACACTATGTTATGTAGCTATTTTATTTTAATAGCTAAGAATCTTGTTTTTTTTTCTATTTATGGTCTTGTATTAATAAACCTATTTTAGCTTATTGAATATTTATTTGTAAGGAAACAAACTATCTAACAAATAGATACATACATCCTTGAATAAAGTCCTATCATGTAGGTAATATATGAATGCTGCTTCATTGTCATGATACACCTTTTGAAGTACATGTACATACATGTATATCAAATATTTCACAAAGCATTATGTCCGAAAATTGTTCAGATAAATTAAAGTTATTATATAAAACCTGAAAGAACATAAGTTAACAACCATGATCTATTACCACAAATTATAAGTTGGTTTTGTTTATCTGAGTTCATAGCTGAATTTACTACAAGTTCATACAATCAAATTATTTTTTCATTTGTAATTGGATTAATGTTTTAGAAATTCTGAAAAATATGGCAGATAATTTCCAACATAAATGCTGGAGGCTGCACCATATAGTGCAATCTTTAAAGAAAAACAGTGTTTTATTAAATCATTTAGAGATTTTTATGCCCCCATTTCGAAGAAAAGGGGGTATATTGCTTTGCACTTGTCGGTCCGTCGGTCCGTCGGTCCGTCGGTCCGTAGACCAAATGGTTTCCGAGTGATAACTAAAGAACCCTTAGGCCTAGGAACTTCAAACTTGGTATGGTGATTAGTCATGACCAGTAGATGACCCCTATTGATTTTGGGGTCAAGGGGTCAAAGGTCAAGGTCACATTGACCTTGTAAGCAAAAACGGTTTCCGATCAATAACTAAAGAACTTTAAGGCCTAGGAACTTCAACCTTGGTATGGTGATTGGTCATGATCAGTAGATGACCCCTTATTGATTTTGGGTCAAGGGTCAAAGGTGAAGGTCACATTGACCTTGTAAGCAAAAAACGGTTTCCGATCAATAACTAAAGAACTTAAGGCCTAGGAACTTCAAACTTGGTATGGTGATTTGGTCATGATCAGTAGATGACCCCTATTGATTTTGGGGTCAAGGGTTCAAAGGTCAAGGTCACATTTACCTCTTGGTAAAAATGGTTTACTGATCAATAACAAAAGAACCTCTTAGACCAATGGAACTTCAACTTGGTATGGTGATTGGTTATGACCAGCAGATGACCCCCTACTGATTTTGGGGTTAAGGGGTCAAAGGTCAAGGTCACATTTGACCTTGTAGGTAAAAAACGGTTTCCGATCATAACGAAAGAACCCTTAGGCCTAGGGACTTCAAACTTGATATGGTGATTGGTCATGATCAGTAGATGACCCCTATTGATTTGGGGTCAAGGGGTCAAAGGTCAAGGTCACATTGACCTCTTAGGTAAAATGGTTTCCGATCAATAACTAAAGAACCCTTAGGCCTAGGAACTTCAAACTTGGTATGGTGATTGGTCATGACCCAGGCAGATGACCCCTATTGAATATTGGGGTTAAGGGGTCAAAGGACAAGGTCCACATTTACCTTGTAGGTAAAATGCTTTCCAATCAATAACTTAAGAACCCTTAGGTCTAGGAACTTCAAAACTTGGTATTGGTGATTGGTCATGACCAGCAGATGACCTATTGATTTTGGGGTCAAGGGGGGTTAAAGGTCAAGGTCAAATTGACCTTGTAAGTAAAAAGGTTCTGATCAATAACTTAAGAACGCTTAGGCCTAGGAACTTCATACTTGGTATGGTGATTTGTCATGACCATCAGTCAGATTACCCCTATTCAATTTTGGGGATCAAAGGGGTCAAAGGTCAAGGTCACATTTGACATTGTAAGTAAAAACAGTTTCTGATCAATAACTAAAGAACGCTTCGGCCTAGGAACTTCAAACTTGGCATGGTGATTGTCATGACCAGCAGATTACCCCTATTGATTTTGGATCAAGGGGGTCAAAGGTCAAGGTCACATTGACATTGTAAGTAAAAACGGTTTCTGATCAAAATAACTAAAGAAACGCTTCGGCCTAGGAACTTCAAACTTGCATGGTGATTGGTCATGAGCAGCAAATGACCCCTATTGATTTGGGTCAAAGGTCAAGGTCACAATGGACCTTGTATGTTAAAACGGTTTCCGATCAATAACTAAAGAACCCTTTAGGCCTAGGAACTTCAAAGTTGGTATGGTGATTGGTCATGACCAGCAGATGACCTATTGATTTTGGGGTCAAGGGGTCAAAGGTCAAGGTCACATTGACCTTGTAGGTGAAAACGGTTTTTCTGATCAATTAACTAAAAACGCTTATGCCTAGAACTTCAAACTTTGTATGATGAATTGGTCGTGACCAGCAGATGGCCCCTATTGAGTTTTGGGTCAAGGGGTCAAAGGTTAAGGTCATGACCAGTACATACTTGATAACCCTTATTAATTGTTTGATCACTGGGTCAGAAGTCATGCATAATAACCTTATCACATGACTAATTGGCTGCTGATAGGGGGCATACATGTTTTACAAACATATCTTGTTATCTTAATCATGCAATTTTTTTCCCTGTCCATTGTTAATATGAAGAAATTTTGATATCAAAGTACAAGAAGTAAGAAGACAGTGGAACATAGGCCTGGTCAGACTGCAGCTAGCCAGACTCTGTAATTTTGTCAATGATGACAAAGTCAAATTATTATCAATGCAATCATTTTAATACATGAATTATAATGGAACCATGTTTCAGGTCATTTTTTTGAGCCGCGTCACAACAAAACAAACATAATGGGTTTGCGACCAGCATGGATCCAGACCAGCCTGTGCATCTGTGCAGTCTGATCAGGATCCATGCTGTTCGCTAGCAGTTTCTCTACTTGTAATAGGGTTTGTAAGCAAACAGCATGGATCCTGATCAGACTGCGCGGATGCGCAGGCTGGTCTGGATCCATGCTGGTCGCAAACGCACTATGTTGGTTTTGTCGTGACGCGGCTCATTTATACCTTCTTTATATAATACATTTACAATTTACAGTTATTAGATTTACATACCATATATAACATAATAATATACATATATTGTTGTAATAGTAGATATTTTGAAATAATTAAAAAGGAGATCCAGGGAATTGGAGATCTTATTTACAAAAACACCCAAACCAAATACAATGAAAATGACAAAAAATAATGTTTTACATAACAAACATGTTGTAAGTTTAGAATGTCCTAATGTTTCATAATATATAACAAATGTGTTACCGTCAATACATCCTTTTGAAAAATTTATTACATTATTCATTGTATTTCATGGCTGTATGATTTTCTTACTTGTAAACATTAATGACTGAAGTTTTGTTTGCCATGTTTGTTTTTAGCTCACCTGTCACAAAGTGACAGGGTGAGCTTTTGTGATCGCTTTTCGTCCGGCATCCGTCTGGCGTCCGTCCGTCCATCCGTAAACTTTTACTTTAAATGACATCTCCTCATTAATCACTAAGCCAATTTCATTCAAACTTCATAGGAATGTTCCTTTGGTGGTCACCTTTAAAAGTTGTTTAAAGAATTTAATTCCATGCAGAACTCTGGTTGCCATGGCAACCGAAAGAAAAAACTAAAAATATCTTCTTTTAAAAAAGAGCTAGAGCTTAGATATTTGGCATGAAACATCTTCTAGTGAGTGTCTACCAAGTTTGTTCAAATAAAATCCCTCGGATCAAAATTGGTTCGGCCCAGAGGTGTCATTTTTTTTCACTATATATGCATATAGTAAAAACTTAAAAATCTTCTTTTAAAGAACTCAAAGAGCTAGAGCTAAGATATTTAGCATGAAACATTTTCTTATGGTCTACCAAGTTTGTTTAAATAAAAGCCCTGGGGTCAAAATTGGCCCCTCCCCGGGGGGTCATTGATTTTCCTTATCTGTGTATAGCAAAAACTTAAAAATCTTCTTTGAAAAAACCCAAATAGCTAGAGTTTAGATATTAAGCATGAAACATCTTTTAGTAAGTGTCTACAAAGTTTGTTCAAATAAAAGCCCTGGGGTCAAAATTGGCCCCGCCCCAGGGGTGTCATTTTTTTTCACTATATGTGTATAGTAAAAACTTAAAAAATCTTCTTTTAAAAAACCCAATGAGCTAGAGCTTAGATGTTTAGCATGTAACATCTTCTTATGGGTGTCTACCAAGTTTGTTCAAATAAAAGCCCTCAGGTGAAAATTGGCCCTGCCTGTGGGGGGGGGGTGAGATCATTGTTTTTCATTATATGTGTATAGTAAAAACTTAACATCGTGAAACATCTTCTAATGAGTGTCTTCCAAGTTTGTTCAAATAAAAGCCCTGGTGTTTAAACTGGCCCCGCTCCAGGGGCCTATATACAGGTGAGCGACCTCAGGGCCATCATGGCCCTCTTGTTTTTTTTACCTCAACATAAGTATGTTGCTTAATAAATTAGGTCATAATTGAAGGTTTTTTGTTAAGATTTTTATAAATCATAATTTATTATTTGGACAAAAATTATTTTATCTTAGTTTAGATAATTCCTTCCATTTAAGTGATACTTTAATGTATTTTTTAATTAAATAAGTGAAAATAAGCATCCAGGCAAATGCCATGTAATTATAATTATGCAGCATTAAGGTCAAAATTGATATAATTTGTCAATGAAATTGAATTGGACTTAAAATACAAGACAGATCTTTCAAGCATCATTGATAAAATCTTCATCACTTGAAGTATCATCTAATTCAAGTATCTTTCAATTGCTTTTAATTTTTTGTAATACATTTGTAAATAAGGAGAAATCATTTAGTAAGGGGAAGAATTATAAGCATTTTATTATTTCCTAACATGAAGAGTATGCAAAGAATTTTGCGTTGCCGTAATAGTATTTAGGTCATTTTTGTGGACATGGAATTATGCCGACTGGATTGTTAAATTTGCGCATGATAAAATGTGGGTTTTCATTTTTAATGTACCCACCAACAGCGCTATTTGAAGGATGATCAGACTATGTTATTATGACATCATAGTGTTAATTAGAAACACTGGACTGTAAGCATTTAGCCTTTCTGCTAATTAATGTAATGTTCTATATATGGCAACAATAAAATTTCACTTAATTTTCTTCCACTTGTAATTTTTCTGTGTTGTTAAAGCAAAACAAATTTCTTTCTTTTTTTACCTTAGATCATATTTGTTGCATGCAGTTTAATAAGTTAAAATAAATTAATTTTAGAGTTGGGACCATACATTTTTTTTTTTCAAATTAATTGCTATGACAATAGGTGAATATAGGAATTTATAATATTTTATGTCTCTCTATTTTAAGAGCATATAGCAAACAAGAAACAAAGCAAGTTTTTTTAAAAATGAAATATTTTTGTATTGCATGTTATAGATTATACCAATCTGGCATTTACTTTAGACATACTTTTACTGTATTTAAGTTATTATTTTAATTTCAGAGTTACAGACCCTTGTGGACCAGTAACTATATATAGGTTACAATGTATATTTCAGACTTACAGACTTGCAGTATGAAGGAGTTTGTTACTATATTTAGACTTTGGTGTATATTTCAGTCTTGCAGTATGAAGGAGTTTGTTACTATATTTAGACTTTGGTGTATATTTCAGTCTTGCAGTATGAAGGAGTATGTTACTATATTTAGACATTGATGTATTTTTCAGACTTGCATTATGATGGAATATGTTACTATATTTAGACTATGATGTATATTTCAGACTTACAGACTTGCAGTGTGATAGAACATGTTACTTTATTTAGACATTGATGTATATTTCAGACTTACAGACTTGCTGTATGATGGAATATGTTACAATATTTAGACTATGATGTATATTTCAGACTAAAAAACTTGCAGTGTGATAGAATATGTTACTTTATTTAGACTATGATGTATATTTCAGACTTACAGACTTGCATTATGATGGAATATGTTTCTATTTTTAGACTATAATGTATATTTCAGACTTACAGACTTGCAGTGTGATAGAATATGTTACTTTATTTAGACTATGATGTATATTTCAGACTTACAGACTTGCTGTATGATGGAATATGTTACTTTATTTAGACTATGATGTATATTTCAGACTTTCAGACTTGCTGTATGATGGAATATGTTACTATATTTAGTCTATGATGTAAATTTCAGACTCACAGACTTGCTGTATGATGGAATATGTTACTTTATTTAGACTATGATGTATATTTCAGACTTACAGACTTGCTGTATGATGGAATATGTTACTTTATTTAGACTATGATGTATATTTCAGACTTACAGACTTGCTGTATGATGGAATATGTTACTTTATTTAGACTATGATGTATATTTCAGACTTACAGACTTGCTGTATGATGGAATATGTTACTATATTTAGACTATAATGTATATTTCAGACTTACAGACTTGCAGTGTGATGTTATCAGTGGACTTACAGTAGCACTGACAGTGTTACCTCAAGGTCTGGCTTATGCCATTATTGCCGACTTACCTCAGCAGGTATTTTTGTTTGATACTTCCATTGTTGATTAATAAACATTTAGATTTTCTCTTAACATTTACCCCATGAGCATATTGTGAAAAATGGCAGTTTTCATTGAAAAGCCTCCTGTTACAAGTTCAAACTGCTATGAAAAATGTTTCAATACTGATGAAACTTGGCCCAAATGTTGACTATACCATAGCCTCTGTAACAGCATGCTCAATTGTAAATTTCCTGTTACCATGGCAACAGGGAGACGTCTCAAAATTGCAAAAAATCACTATTTTGCATTGTTTTTTTCCAATAAAACTGATTTCAAAGTGCTGCAACTTCTCAATGAATTGAGATAGAGTAAAGGCTTTTCAGCTTTAGTTACTTGTTACCCTAAAATCGACCTTAGGCCATTTTTAGCTTGTCACATGTGCAAAATTTTCTTGGCGATGAGGGGGACTACCGCCCCCTTCAAACCTCCCAAACATAAGGGGGCACATCCCCCTTCTGGCAACCCCCTGATGTAACATTTTGATGGGGGCGACGCCAATTAAGTGGTCACTTTTTTTAACAATATTTCTCAAACGAAAAACAGTGTTTGGGGCCTAAATAGGACATTTTGTCACTGTTTGAGGACTCAAAAAAGGAGGGGGGCAAAAAGCAGTCAAAACTAGTCTAAATAAGGGAACAGGTTAACTTGTGTCATTTCATTTAATTGAGGGGAAAATTATGCCCATACACAAAATAACACAATATCCCAATGTGAAGTACAATTAGTTGGACTAACTATTCAGTTGAAATAGTTCATTCATAGTTTTAGTACTGAAACTAACAGCCTGCACAAGTTCAATGGTGCAGACATGCAGGCTGGCCAGGCTTAATACTAGTTGTGATTTTCAACACAAGCATCCAAAAATAGTAGTTGCTTAGAGGTTAAGGTATCTGCCCCACAACACACTACCAAGTAGTGTTAAGTTCAAGCCTTACAGTATAGCTTCTCACATAATACCCATACTGGTTATTACCAGAAAATGGACTCGTAAATAATTAACATAAATTTCACATTTGAATGGTTTGCTATAAAATATCAAAAGTGCAGATCGATACATGTCATTTTTGAAATCATTATATTTGTCAGCATTGATTTTGAATGTGCATTCTTAATTTCCAGTATGGGTTGTATTCTGCCTTCATGGGTGTGTTTGTGTACACAATACTGGGTACTTCAAAAGACATTACGCTTGGACCAACTGCTATCATGTCCCTGATGACAGCAGCTTTTGCTTCCTCTCCTGTGAAAGATGATCCTACATATGCTGTGGTGTTGTGTTTATTTTGTGGTTCTGTACAGTTACTGATGGGAATACTTCATCTAGGTTTGTTTGTTTTGTTTTTATGACAATTTAAACACATGTTTGGTCGTATCTCGGTCATAGGTCCACCAAGCCAGTTTTCCTGGATAAGTAACCACTAATTATTAAAGTCTTTGCAAGAGACTGACCTGTAATCCCAGAATTTTTTAATCAGCTGTAAAACAGAAAGTGTTAGATTCTTTAAAACTATTTCATTGTCTGCTGATAATACTGTCCAGTAGCATACAAGAGCAAAGTTAAGAGCTAGGTTAAGATAAGCTCAAAAGTTTCATCATCATTATGCTTAAATTAACTCAAGAAGGCAAACTCAGACAATTTTTTTTCTACAGGTGGGAAAAATAACGTGTAAAACAGCTATCATGCTGTTACAGGTTCACAGGATCTATGCAGGTCAAACAAAAGCATGTATGTCCTCATTATTACTGACCATCATAAATATGTTTCTAAAAATGAAATTAGTATCAATATTTTTTTCCAGGTATTTTGGTAAATTTTATTTCCTATCCTGTGATCAATGCATTTACATCTGCTGCTGCTATAACTATTGCATGTGGTCAGGTGAAAGGCATTCTGGGATTGAAGGATATCCCTAGAGAATTCCTGCATATGGTGTATGAAACATGTAAAAAGATACCAGAAACCAGGTTTGTTTTTATAAAATTATTTGCTTTTGTAGACCTAAATGTACATTTGTAATCAATCAATCAATCAATTAATCAATCAAGGTCTTTTGAAAGTTGACTGAGTTAAATGACTTAAACTTAAAGTATTTTTGTTGGAAATAATGTTTTTTTTTTTGTTTTAAATACAAATAAGATTAATAATGCAGCCATTACATCTTCTATTGAAACAGTAGGAAAATATAAAGGCTCAGTTCTTGCCAGACGTCTTTTTGGAATAAAGAAGAATCAGAATGTTTCATGATTTTTATTTACTTTTTTTTTTCTTTACAAGCATATAAGACTGAAAATATAAATAATTTCTAGTGGAAGTATTTCCTAATTATTCATATATCACCTGTTGATACATATGCTTTACAGGGTATGGGATTTGACCATGGGACTTATATGTTTAATCATCCTATTCCTACTGAAGGTAAAGATTAATTTGAATATTAAGTTATTTTTTATTTAGACTACTTTTTTTGGCTACAATATCATGCCCTTGGCAGTTTTTTTTGTTCTCTGATCAATACAAAATTTTATTTTGACATTGAGGTACCTATAAAGTCCTTCTATCAGGTAAAGGTACCTGTGGTGCACCAGATAAGGATATTTATCTTTAAAAAGCTAAATGTTTGTAACAGACATGTTTCCTACTTTTGAATATAGAACTGTGCTCCGATAATGTAAGGTGCTTTTATAACAATGAATAGAATAAAGCAGCTAACAAAATAGATCCTTGATGGAGTACTTTGCAGGCTTACCTGGATCTTTGTTGCTAGCATTCAAAAGGAATTATAATATAAAAGATTTCTTCAAATTCTATTGTAGTAGTTGTAGGCTTTGAAAAAAAATTGTTTAGTTTATTCAAATTTGTTTTAGTTCAATTGTGTTGGAAGCTGTACAGTTGTTGAAACATTCTTGAAATTTGTTGTTTTTTTGTTAAAAAAAAAAAAGAAACTGTAGGAATCATGTAGTTATAAATAATAATTTTTTTTATTTATTTTTAGCTCACCTGACCACGAAGTGGTCAAGGTGAGGTATAGTGATGGGGCTATGTCCGGCGTCCGTCGTCGTGCGTCGTGCGTCGTGCGTCGTGCGTCGTCAACAATTGGGTTGTTAACAGTCTAGCAGTCACAGTTTTGATTGGATCATCATCAAACTTTGTCAGAATGTTTATCTCAATGAAATACAGGTCGAGTTCGAAGATGGGTTATCTCGGGTCAAAAACTAGGTCACAGGAGCTAAAAATAGAAAAACCTTGTTAACACTCTAGAGGCTGCAGTTTTCATCCAAACATTCTGGAAATTTGTCAGGAAGGTTGTTTTAATGATATCTAGGTCAAGTTCGAAGATGGGTCATCTCCGGTCAAAAACTAGGTCACAGGAGCTAAAAATAGAAAAAGCTTGTTAACACTCTAATAATTGGGTTGTTAACAGTCTAGCAGTCACAGTTTTGATTGGATCATCATCAAACTTTGTCAGAATGTTTATCTCAATGAAATACAGGTCGAGTTCGAAGATGGGTTATCTCGGGTCAAAAACTAGGTCACAGGAGCTAAAAATAGAAAAACCTTGTTAACACTCTAGAGGCTGCAGTTTTCATCCAAATATTCTGGAAATTTGTCAGGAAGGTTGTTTTAATGATATCTAGGTCAAGTTCGAAGATGGGTCATCTCCGGTCAAAAACTAGGTCACAGGAGCTAAAAATAGAAAAAGCTTGTTAACACTCTAGTGGCTGCAGTTTTCATCCAAATATTTTGGAAATTTGTCAGGAAGGTTGTTTTGATGATATCTAGGTCAAGTTCGAAGATGGGTCATCTCCGGTCAAAAACTAGGTCACAGGAGCTAAAAATAGAAAAAGCTTGTTAACACTCTATAGGCTGCAGTTTTCATACAAATATTCTGGAAATTTGTCAGGAAGGTTGTTTTGATGGTTTCTAAGTCAAGTTCGAAGATGGGTCATCTCCGGTCAAAAACTAGGTCACAGGAGCTAAAAATAGAAAAAGCTTGTTAACACTCTAGTGGCTGCAGTTTTCATCCAAATATTTTGGAAATTTGTCAGGAAGGTTGTTTTGATGATATCTAGGTCAAGTTCGAAGATGGGTCATCTCCGGTCAAAAACTAGGTCATAGGAGCTAAAAATAGAAAAAGCTTGTTAACACTCTAGTGGCTGCAGTTTTGATCCAAATATTTTGGAAATGTGTCAGGAAGGTTGTTTTGATGATATCTAGGTCAAGTTCGAAGATGGGTCATCTCCGGTCAAAAACTAGGTCACAGGAGCTAAAAATAGAAAAAGTTTGTTAACACTCTAGTGGCTGCAGTTTTCATCCAAATATTCTGGAAATTTGTCAGGAAGGTTGTTTTGATGATATCTAGGTCAAGTTGGAAGATGGGTCATGTCCGGTCAAAAACTAGGTCACAGGAGCTAAAAATAGAAAAAAGCTTGTTAACACTCTAGTGGCTGCAGTTTTTATCTAAATATTCTGGAAATTTGTCAAGAATGTTGTTTTGATGATATCTAAATCAAGTTCGAAGACGGGTCATATCCGGTAAAAAACTAGGTCACAGGTGCTAAAAATAGAAAAAGCTTGTTAACACTCTAGGGGCTGCAGTTTTCATTCAAATATTTTTGAAATTTGTCAGGAAGGTTGTTTTGATGATTTTCAGGTCAAGTTCGAAGATGGGCTATCTCGGGTCAAAAACTAGGTCACAGGAGCTAAAAATAGAAAAAGCTTGTTAACAATCTAGTGGCTGCAGTTTTGATTAAAATATTCTGGAAATTTGTCAGGAAGGTTGTTTTAATGATTTCTAGGTCAAGTTCGAAGATGGGTCATGTCTGGTCAAAAACTAGGTCACAGGAGCTAAAAATAGAAAAAGCTTGTTAACACTCTAATGGTTGCAGTTTTCATCCAAACATTCTGGAAATTTGTCAGAAAGGTTGTTTTGATGATTTCTAGGTCAAGTTCGAGGATGGGTCATCTCAGGTCAAAAACTAGGTCACAGGAGCTAAAAATAGAAAAGCTTGTTAACACATTAGGGGCTGCAGTTTTCATCCAAATATTCTTGAAATTTGTCAGGAATTTTGTTTTGATGATTTCTAGGTCAAGTTCGAAGATGGGTTATCTCCGGTCAAAAACTAGGTCACAGGAGCTAAACATAGAAAAAGCTTGTTAACACTCTAGTGGCTGCAGTATTGATTCAAATATTCTGTAAATTTGTCAGGAAGGTTGTTTTGATGATTTCTAGGTCAAGTTCGAAGATGAGTCATCTTCAGGTCAAAAACTAGGTCACAGGAGTTAAAAATAGAAAAAGCTTGTTTACACTCTAGTGGCTGCAGTTTTGATTCAAATATTCTGGAAATTTGTCAAGAATGTTGTTTTGATGTTTTCTGGGTCAAGTGCTAAGATTGGTCATGTCCGGTCAAAAACTAGGTCACAGGAGCTAAAAATAGAAATTTTTTTAACACTCTAGTGGCTGCAGTTTTGATCCAAATTTCCTGGAAATTGGTCAGGAAGGTTGTTTTGATGATTTCTAGGTCAAGTTTGAATATGGGTTGTGTCCAGTCAAAAATTAGGTCACATTGCCCAAATATGGAAAAATCTTTATAACACACTATAGGTCACATGTTTGACTCAGTCGCATCAAACTTGGTCATGACGCTTGTTTAAGACATTGCTTGGATGCGGTTGTGTCAGGTGAGCGATCCAGGGCCATCATGGCCCTCTTGTTTTAAATTTTCACAGCAAATGAGAAAGAAGAAGTGGAAGCCTAATCCACACAATGTACCATTAACTTTATGTCAGAAGATAATCAGAAAAATTGTCTGGCTTGTTGGTATAGGTCAGTATCTACCTTTTATATTATCTGTAAATAAATAGCTTAAAGTACATGTATGAATATCTGAACTTTTTCAGTAGTTTTTCAGTGAATATGAATTTGATATTTCATGCTTGAAAAAATATACTGAAATTTTAAAATTTGTAGACCTGTGTTCAGGATTTTCAAAATGATATAAATGTAGCTTATGTTGTATTATTAGAATCATGATACAAGGGATCAAATGCAAAATTGCCAAAACTTAATGTTTTTCATATCATTTTGCACTTAAGTGCTGCAATGAATTAGTAAACTGACAATATATGAGCTGCGTCACGACAAAACCAACATAATGCATTTGCGACCAGCATGGATCCAGACCAGCCTGCGCATCCACGCTGTCTGATCAGGATCTATGCTGTTCACTTACCAACCCTATTACAAATAGAGAAACTGATAGCGAACAGCATGGATCCTGATCAGACTGTGCGGATGTGCAGGCTGGTCTGGATCCATGCTGGACGCAAACGCACTATGTTGGTTTTGTTGTGACGCGTCTCATATATATTTATATATACATGTATATCTCAATACCTCTGTATGAATATTTTAAGATTGCAAAGAGCAGTTGACATACTATACTAGCATGTATAAATATCATGAAAAATGTCTTTATATGGAATTTTCAGTTAAGTCAGATTATTTTTTTTTAGATTTTTTTTTTTTTCACATTTGAATATTAATATATATATATATATATATATTACAGGAGCAAATGCTATAGTTGTGATAACATCAGCTGGTGTTGTGGCGATACTGCACTATTATGGCTACACTTCAGAGATAACCACAACTGGTTATGTCAAACCTGGCTTACCTCCCTTTAAGTTCCCATCTTTCAGTGTACAGAATGGAAATTCAACAATTGGAGGGGGAGATATAATAAGTGTTCGTTTTTGTACATTATACATTTCTTGAATTTTATGGCCATTACATGGCGGTGTCTGTGACCTTTAGTTAAAGGACGTTGACATCGAATGACTTGTCTATCACTGTTGTAGGTTTGAGTAACGCAAGCCTCTTCAGATTTATTAAAAGTTCAAAGTTATTCAACTAGCTAACAGATTGTTGGTGGTTCTACACAAGTGCCTGTGTGTGCCTGAAATAATGCACAGAAGGACACCTGAGGTTTTTCTCCACAAGAAAAGCTTGAAAGTTCTCATATGACCTATTCTGAAAGACAACAATGGCCATTATATCATGGATAATTTCAAATTACATTAAAGATATTGTCAAAGAAGGGAGAAATAATGCTTGTTTTCAAGGATAATCTTCATTTAGTTATTAATGTAACCAGTATTTAACTTGTTTTGAGCTTAAAAAATATGTAAAACATTTTAGTTTGTTAATTTTAAGATGTCTTGTCATTGATTACAGGATATTGGTACAGGTCTGTTTATTGTTCCAATCCTTGGTTTAGTAGAGTCCATTGCTATTGGAAAAGCTTTTGGTAGGTATATCAAAACATTTTGTATATTTAGTGCTGATTGACACTTTGTCACAATATCTAAACCAATGTTTATGAAGTTATAAAAGTCAGATAAAATTTCATCTGTTTTTAAACCTCTTACTGTGCTGGAACTAAAATGATGAGCCTTTGCTACCAGTTTAGGCCAGGCCAGCCTGAATACAAGGCTTTATTCAAGGCTAATCAATTTCAAATTTTCATCTTGATTTCACTTTAAATTGATAATGGACAGTTCTGAAAATTGAACCTGGACTAGTCCATTTAAGAAAATCAGCAGGTTCAAGGTTAGGAAATACATATATATCTTAGAGAATGTAGTTTTGTAGTCAGCTGTTTATTGAATTACTTTAAATTCACTAGATAGTTAATACCATAATTAATAATGAATAAGGATTTGTCATTAAATTGTATACAGTTATTTTTAATTGTTTCTTGTTTTGTATTTTAGCACGTCAGAATAACTACCGTATTGATCCAAATCAAGAACTTCTGGCCATTGGTAACTATTATTTTTGTTACTTGTGCAAAATTTTCTTTAATAAATTTTCTATTTGGATAGATAATTTCTTTATGTATTTATTTTAAATTATATTGTTTTTGATTCTTATTAATGTTTTATTAGTTTGACAACTTTTTCATAAAATTCCATTTGGTTAGAAAAACTTACTTAAATTAGTGAGTTCACAATTTATTGACAAACTTACTAACCTGATAGCAATATTTTCATTTTTTTTATAAAGGTGTTGCAAACGTTGCAAGTTCCTTTGTGTCTGCATATCCAGTGACAGGCAGCTTTTCAAGGTAAGAAATTATTACAGCTTTAAGCAGGTGTGTTCTATAGTGGGGCGACATTACCCACATGTAGGCATAACACATGGTTAAAGTTAACCTATAACTAATATCTCTTTAACCACCGAGTACAGGCTCTTGAAACTTCACCTATGGCTTAAGTTAGTAGTAAAACAAAGTTATTTTAGTTTAATGGTGTTGGAAGCTATAAACATATTGAAAAACTCTTGAATCCATTCATTGAACCAACCAGTACTTATGCAATGAGTAGGTAGATTCTTGCTCATGGAAACAATGGCTTGCCCTGACAGGGTTTGAACCCATGTGGCTATCAATTCTTGGATTACTAGTCAGGCGCATTAACCACTTGGCCACCAGTGTCTTTGGTATAATAACTCATTTTCCAGACTCTTGTTTCACTATTGAAGACTCGAATAGTCAAGCACATTGTGGAGATGGCAATATTTTATATAAGAACATTTGATGTTGTCAGTATATGATTCCTGTCTTAAGCTTATTGAATTTGAATATTGAATGTTAATGTCAAAGTCAAGTTGTTTGATTCTACCTTAATCACAAAATTACTTTAACCCATTGCTTCATGAGCATTTTGTGAAAAATGGCTGTTTTCATTGAAAAGTCTCCCGTTACAAGTTCAAATTGCTATAATACTATAAAAACTGCTTCAACACTAATCAAACTTGGCACAAATGTTGACTGGACCATTGTCCTTGCAACAACATGCTCAGACTTAAATTTTCTGTTACCATGGCAACGAGGGGACATCTCAAAATTGCCAAAAATCACTATTTTGCGTTGATTTTTTCCATCAAAATTGATTTCAAAGTGCTGCAACTTATCAATGGATTGAGATAGAGTCAAATGCTTTTCAGCGTTGGTTACACGTTACCTTATGATCAATCTGGGGTCATTTACAGCCTCTCACAAGTCCAAAATTTTCTTGGCGATGAGGGGGACTCCGCCCCCCTTCAAACCCCCCAAAACAGAAGGGGGCACATCCCCCTTCTGGCAACCCCCTGATGTATCTTTTGGTTGGGGGGCCGCGCCGAAAAAGAGGTCAATTTTTTTAAACAACATTTCTCAAACAAAAACAAGTGTTTGGGGCCTAAATAAGGCATTTTTTCATCATTTGAGACAACAAAAAGGGGGGGGGGGTGAAAAAGGCGTTAAAAGGCGTGTATATGAAGTAATGGGTTAATGCATTGATTACAATTTAGAAATAGAAATATCATAATAATAATATTGCATAATATGTCTGTATTTTCTAGAACTGCTGTCAATTCACAAAGTGGTGTAAGAACTCCTATGTCTGGTGTGTTCACTGGAGGTGTGATCCTGTTATCGTTGGCTTTCCTCACCCCGCTCTTTAAGTTCATACCGAAGTCGGCCCTGTCAGCCGTCATTATATCAGCTGTTATACAGATGGTAGATTACGAAATCCTCCCAAAGTTCTGGAATATTCAGAGTAAGATTTATGACATGATTTTTAATTAGATTATCAATAATCTGTAGGTGTGGAAGACATCATTAGCTTAACTTATTGTTGAAGTTTATTGGATACAAATATGAGCACAACTGAGATGACCAAGTGATGCTTGTGCTTTCAAACTCCCATCTTAGTTTTTTTTACTGACTTTTTTTACTGACTTGTTTGTGCCTCTTTTATACAGCCAAGCAAGCTGGAACATTTTTTACAGGCTGGGCACAAACAATACAATTGACTACTAAATTTCAATATTTTTATATCAAAATCATTTTTGTTTACAATAGATATCAAGAATTGAAAATAAGATAATTATATAAAAATCATGTAATAAACATGTACTTGTGCTAAGTTATTCTTTTTGTAGTTTATAACAGTTTTCATATTACAGTTCTTCTCATTCAGCTTTCTTGCTATTTCACACTTACTAAAATATGAAACAAAACATTAAATAAAGTGATGGGGTGGAAAAATAGAGTTTAAATTGTGATTTTTCAACATATTAAGTTTTTTTTTTATTTGAACCATATTCAGACGAAGACCTTGTTTTATCACACCAATTATATTTATCATTTGCCCTTACTATAGAAATAAAGTGTACATGTAACCAAATATAAATGATACTATATTAGTTTGAATTATTCTAACTATAATTAATACTCAGAAAAAATATAAAATGTTCAAATCATTACATTTTATCAGTTGCTAAAGTGTACATTTCTTATTGTGGTAATGGTGTAATATTTCTTTTTATTTGTTCATATATAAATGTATATACATGTTCATGTTTATAATTTCATCAAAGTTTGATTTTGATATTATAGTTTACAGTTTATAAAATACTTCCATATATTAGATCGGAGGGAGAAATATGGTATATCATATTTTATAATAACCTGTTGAGTTTTTGGTTTATTTTATGTTGATATTAGCATATTTGGTACATATTTTCACCTTTACTGAGGGGTTTATTTGAAATGTACTTTAAGGGGTTGCTGGTGGCAACAGGTTCTATCCATGCCACCAGTGCAGGGCAAGATCAGCTAGCACATCCATGTTATCTGATCAGGGTCTGCTATTGAAAAATTCCCTTAAAATGATGACTGGTTTTGTCATGCCTTAAAGATGGATATGTCTGTTTTAAATATTTAGCAGGAAAAGGGTTAAAAAAAGATTTATAACTATAGTTTTTGTTACTTAATTAATGTGAAATGAAGAAAATTGTACATAATTTTCTAAATGAAATGGTTATTTTTACTACTGCCCAATGATATTTTTCTGCTGTAACTTTTATTTATTATATAATTTTGGCCAGCTGTCATCTTTGCTTTACATTGATTTGATTGTATTTGTTGTATAATTATATTTGCATTGAAATATTCATGAGGGATTATTTTACTGATTTAGAGTTTTGTAATGTGTATGTTGTTTCTTCTGTTTTCATTTATCCAAGTATTCATACATTTACTAAAAGAAAGTTTATATATAAAAACTTTTTTAAGCATTTTTCAGTTATTTTCATATGTATTTATGTGTATCATTATTTAAAGTTATATGAGACATAACTGTATGTTATTTTATATTTCAGAAATGTCATTGATTCCATGGGTTATAACATTCCTGACATCATTTGGTTTAGGAATAGAGGTAATTACATAACAATTTAACATAAATAACCATGCTTAGTTCATCTCCCGTGTATCTATTTCATATTTATTTCATGTAACAAAATGACTTGCTATTGATATTCCATGAAAACTCTATTGTCCATGTGATATAAACCTGTTTTAAGTGGCCATCTTTGATTAAAAGTCATCCCAGATTTCATTATTAAAACACCTTAACAATAAAGACAATGATCGTTTGACTAAAATTGTTTACAAGATATCATGCAATTTCAAGTTTCAGTTTAGGAGATTTACTAAATTAAAGTTGGAGTACCTAGAACATTAATTTTGTTAAGTTTACTTTATATGGATAATCTTTTGCCATTAATTTATAGATAAGTCACAAATAAAGCTTCAAATGAAATATTAAACAAAAAATTAATCTGATGCAAAAGCTAATAATCAATTAAGTAAAGTCAAAGAATTAGCCTAACTTATGCCATATAACAAATTCACTACATAATTGAGCTGCGTCACAACAAAACCAACATAATGGGTTTGCGACCAGCATGGATCCAGACCAGCCTGCGCATCCGCGCAGTCTGATCAGGATCCATGCTGTTCGCTTACTTACCCTATTACAAGTAGAGAAACTGATAGCGAACAGCATGGATCCTGATCAGACTGCGCGGATGCGCAGGCTGGTCTGGATCCATGCTGGTCGCAAACCCATTATGTTGGTTTTGTTGTGACATGGCTCAATTATTCTTCTTCAATTTTATTACAGTATGGAATTCTGATTGGAATAGGTGTACAACTTCTATTACTGCTTTATCCTGTTGCCAGACCAAAAATTACAGTAAGTACATTTTATAATAATGTGTATCTTGTTGGACCCATCTTGTTGATGACCTGTGTGACCTTAAACATTTTCTGTGTATAGAAATCCATACAGTTTAAGAAAGTAAAGGAAACTTTAAGGAAAACATATATTGACAAATTGCGTTGGTTTAAGAATCAGTCCATCATAGAAAACAATAATTATTACTCTAGTGCTGATGTATAATATACATGTATTATATGTTTTGCAGTTTTATAATTTTGATTTCCTGTTTGGTGTAGTTAATTAAACAACTAGGTCCATATTGACACCACTTTGACATTCTTTTTGTTTACTCAATCTTAAATATATGCACAAAGTTTAGCTAAAAAGAGGTATTTAATTTTCTGGTGTAATGGGAAATCAAATATAGAAGGGAAGTAACTCCTCTAAATCTAGAAAGAAATCAAGATAGAGTTGTGTCCCTTTAATGGAATTTATTTAATGCATTATACTGACTATTTTATCTTGACTTCCAAATGTTGCATGGTCTAAAACTTAGAGGTACTTGCACCAACAATCCCAGATAGATATCATTATCAGTTCTATCTTCATTTTAGGATGAGATATTTATATTAATAGTATGAGCCGCATCACGACAAAACCAACAGAATGTGTTTGCGACCAGCATTTATCCAGACCAGCATGCGCATCCGCGCAGTCTGATCAGGATCCATGCTGTTCGCCAACCAACTCTATTACAAGTATAGAAACTGATAGCTAATATCATGGATCCTGATCAGACTGTGCGGATGCGCAGGCTGGTCTGGATCCATGCTGGTCGCAAATGCACTATGTTGGTTTTGTCGTGACGCGGCTCATATAATGTTGGTATTTTTAAGGTTTATGAATAGATTTTATTTATTATTTATTATTACTGTATTTGATTAGTTCAGGAAATACTTCAGTGATAAAAGAGATCAACCAGGTCTACTCAATAGAAATGTACAGGTATATCTGTGGTTGATGATGAACCTTTAGACTAACATATACATATTTATTTCTCATTAGACTAACATGAAATATGTGATCTTTACTGTTTATACTTATTTATGTGCACTTCTTACTTAGTTAATTATGTTAAATATTAAGTTTTTTGTACCTGCATGTTTTGTTTCAAACTCACTTTAGAATTTTTTAGTGTTTGATAAATTATTTAATGGGAAATACATGCATGTGAGGAAGAAAATTTGTCTACTTCTGGCTTTTTTTTTGCCATTACTTTTTAAGTTTTTAGCTTGACATATAAAAAGTATATAAGCTATTTTATTCATCTAACGATGGGCATCAATGTCAGCATCCATCTGTTTGCAGGAATGTTACGTTAATGTCTGTCACATATCTTTCTTTATTATATTTGACTTTTACCTTTGTTATTCATTATCATCAAGTTCACAAATATTGAATGTGTTGTCTCCCCTGACAGCTCCTGTTATATCATAAAAGAAAACCTAATGCTTTTATATCATGGATTTGCCCAACTTTAATTTTGGAACAGTCCATTTAAAGTTTAAGGGATTTTAAAAGCAAAATACATATAATTTAGTTACCATTTTACAGTAAAGAGAGTAATAAAGAACACACAAAATGACAAAACAGAAATGTTGCAGGCTCATTTTGATTGAGTTGTGCATGAACGGTAATGGAAAGTGCAAATTACCGCTCATGCCTCTTAGCACTGGCTTAAGCAGAATTCAACATTCAGTATGAAATAGTGAAATTTTGAATTTAAAAACATCCCCAGATTTGTTCATACGGCGGTTAACATGGAACCTTCAATGTAACACAGCAGTCCCTTTCCATGAAAAATTGGTGTATGGTCCCCAAGTAAAAGAATGCAAGTGTGCCCTAAACAAGAAAACAATGGGTAAAACTAAAAAATGAAATTTTGAAAGGGGATCAGAGGTTTTGAAGCCTGCATATCACAGATAAGCTGTCAAAAGACAAATTTAAAAAGCAGACCACATGTCTGAGGGGTGAATAAACAATATTCAAGTAAGGAATACTGGAATCACCGAACTAGAAAATAGCCAAACAGAAAGAACTAAAGTACCACAGGCACAACAATAATGTTGTGCTGAACAATCTTTAAGGATTGGAACTATAACATCCCTGATTGAATGAGTCTTTAGCCAGAATTTACAGATGTGCAAGACTTAAATCACTTTATTCCAGCAAGTTTAGGGTTATTACATACGGTGGGGGACCAATTTCTGGTTTTAAAGGAAATTATAAAAAGATGTTTTTTAACTTTGATTATTTTAATTTGAAGTAGGAGTTTTGACAGTTTATAAGATTTATGTTTGTAGATTTAGCTGAAGTTTTGGTCCTAGACTATATTAATTTATAGTTGCTAAGAATTTAATTTACAATTGTTTGCCATTTTTATGGGTAACTTCTTTACTGACTTATGATATAAATACATTATTTGTTTCTTGGTGTATTGTAATTAAGTATTTTACTATCAAAATCCCTGATGCCTAAAAACTTACAATCCCAAATTTCAAAGACGTACATTAATATACTGTTTTAGTGTTTTTGAAGTTAAATCTTTTGTGGAATCTGTTTTAATTCTGATACCATAAACTGTGCCTGCTGAAACAATATTTTAAGTGTGTGTTTTTCTAATAAATCACATCAGATTGTGTAAATATTACATTAATGAGGCAAAAATTTACATGCACCTAAAACTGTAAATTTGAAAGATTGCATAATAACACTTCTCATTAGATTGACAGACCTAATGCATATGTAACTGTTAAATCACTGTCTTTAGATCTGATTCAGTGATTTTCAAAGAATTGTTAAATCACTGTCACCATAATATATAACAAATACAATGATTTAACAAAAAAAACAGTTAAATCTCTATCGACACAATCAGTGTTCTTATGCAATTCAATTTAAACTTTTATTGCAATTAAGTATTAACAATTTTATAGCAAATTAAAATTATATGAGCGGCGTCACGACAAAACCAACATAGTGCATTTGCGACCAGCATGGATCAAGACCAGCCTGCGCATCTGCGCAGTCTGATCAGGATCCATGCTGTTCGCTATCAGTTTCTGTACTTGTAATAGAGTTAGTAAGCGAACAGCATGGATCCTGATCAGACTGCATGGATGCGCAGGCTGGTCTGGATCCATTCTGGTCGCAAACGCATTACGTTGGTTTTGTCATGACGTGGCTCATATGTAAACATGAAATTTTGGAGAGGCACAGTTATCTGCCCCTTTACCTGGTTTACAATTTACTAGTGTATTTTAATATTACATGTACATGTATATTGATTATACCTACTTTGTATTATACCACTGTATACTCATGTATTTATATTAGTATACATACATATACACGTTTAATATGTTGTAAATGCTTTATAAATTAAATATAAGTATATGTGTTTTATAGGTGGATTATTTGGATTATGTTGTAGTCACATTCAACCAGGCAATCAGATTCCCCTCAGTAGAATATCTTCAGACAAGAATACTTAAACACATGTATTCAGGTATTGAATTCTTGTTATATTTATTAAAAATCCGTAGCATTGTATACATAACTTATTAAATTAGTACATAGTCAAATTGAAACTCATAAGATAATGTTATTTATTTCATTTTGAAACTTTTTGAATTGATGACAATAAGAAATTCACAATGAAAGTCATCTATTTTAGTCTAAACCTACATCAAATGGTACTTTTATCTGGAAAAATTATTTCAGTCCCATCATGTCAAAAAACCTCAATGGAGTCGCTTTAATATTAGATTGTCTTTATCAAATACAAAAAAACAAAAATAGCTCCAAAATTAAAGCAGGACATATCCGTTACACAGGGAATAAAGGTAAGCTTGTTGGTAGAGCTATGATTAATTTAAATCAAAGTTGCAATATGCTCACACAATACAACTTTTCTGTTACAGAGGATGAAAAGCCAAGATCAGTTATATTGGACTGTAACCACCTTGCTTCAGGTTTGGACTACACCACTATCATGGTGAGTATTTGAGGAGTTTTCTATGGGTATATTTATATTAATGCCGAAAGAAATCCCAAAAATCTTTATTGCTATATCCATTATACTTAGTTAAAGATAATCAGATAAATGAAAATAAAATTTTTAATAAGAAGAATTTTTAAAATGAATTTGTAATTATTTTCCTTAGGACAATGTATGAAATAAGTAGTCACATAAAATATGTGAATCTTTAAAATGAAGGAGCAACAATTATTGCATTCATTTGAACATGTAAATTTTTGAAGATAGAATTTTCTAAATTTCTAATTTTACGGATATTTTATTTCTGTGAAACCAGAGATTTACTATATATTTTGTGATGGGATTTGGACCATACCGACAATAGTTGTGGTATAGAAATATGACACTTTGCATTGTTTTTCAGGGTTTGATAGAAGTGATTGCAGATTTCAAAAAGAAGGGTGTACATTTTTCAATGGCTAGTGTGCATGTATGTATTTTATAGGAATTTTTTCTTTGATAAACACTTGGGGATATTTATTGTAAAAAAAGAATGCATAAAGTACAATAGATTTGTTAGTTGTTTATCACATTTTACAGTCATGTATTGAGTGAGATAAAATGCTAGAGGTGTAGGACATATTTTGCACTTTTTATTGTTTTTCAAAATCGAGTCTAACAGACTCAAACAAATCTTGAAGACTTAATAAAAATTAGACTAGCAGACTTAATGGAAAATGAGTTTTACAACCTTAATTGGACAGAAACTAACTAACTTAATGAAATCAGGTTTAACTGAGTTTAACAGACTTAATCAGACCAAGTCTACCAGACTTAATTGAACAGAGTGTGACACTTAATCAAACCAAGTCAAAAATACTCAATTGAACTGAGTCTAACATACTTAATCAAGCCAAGTCTAGCACAAAACTTTTATTTTATATTTGCAGCATTGTAAAATTGGGAAATTAAGATTTTTTAATTTGTTTTCAGAATAATTATGTTACATAATGGTATTATTCCTCAAAGTAAACAATTTGTTTGTTGTTTTTTTAGCCTGAGATCAAGAAAGAGTTAGATCATGCAAATGTTGTTGTTATATATGGAGATAGTGTGGCAGATTCCATCAGGAGAATAAAAGGTTTGAACTAAAATGTTTTATTTAGAGTTACATGTATGTAACACACTAGATAGAAGTGTTTTTTCTGATTTACTAACAATAGTAGCAGAAACAATTTTCACTAACTCTATGATTGTATTTACAGTAATGTTTTCTGTATTATGGTTTAAGTCTGGTTTACTTACACTAATAGCAGACACATTTTTCTCTACATCTTTGAATAGTATTCACAGTAATGTTTAAAATTTGAACATTTGGAAATATTAATGGATAGTATTAAACTTTAGCTTTAGAAGCTCAAAAGAAAAGCTCTATCTTCATAGAATTTAATTATTTGTTTATCAGAGAAAGAGAAGGCAGGAGAGATGGATGATGAGATTGAGTCTATTACTGTAACCAACGGCAAGTTCCAGGCAAACGCAATAAATGGCACACCTATTCCTAACGTACCTGAAGTGAATTATGGGTATTCCAAGGGACCAAATGAGGGAGACAGTGATAGTGACAGTGAGGACGGTGTACGTTTGTAGAAGAGAAACATTGTTAATGTTGAAACATTGTTAATGTTGAACAATCATTGTTAAAATGGCTTATACCTGACTTTACATCTTTACCCTGTTAGATTTTTGTATTGTCCACTTTTGAGTTAAGAACTGTCAACTGTCAGTTTATGATTATATAGTGAATAACTGTAAAAGGAGGGCATAGGTCCCATAATAGAGTGTGACCATACAGCATGGATGTACAGGTAGATCTGTGTCTCTATTTTTGTATTATATGCACTATCGTTCACAATTAATCCTTGCCAAACTAAATACCTTAGATGGACTTATCCATCTTTTAATTTTGAACGAGACCATTCATTATTTTTAGGGGAAATTTCAAAATAAGTATTTGCTGAAAAGTGCAGACCATGATCAGGCAGCTGAGATGTGCAGACTGTGGCTGATTATGGTCTGCACTGGTCACTAGGGTTTAATCTATTGCTGCTAGCAGACTACATGTTAATAGACATTCAGTGGTATTGTTTTTTAAACAGGGTTTTAGAGATTTCACAAATGACCTAACTAGAAGAATTATGGGACATCTTAAATTGTGATAGATCTCAATTTTTGGGTGTTTTTTTCCATTGGTATTGGTAGATTAAATAGTGCCTGTTTATGTTTGTTTTATGTTAAAGATAAGTTGGATTATTGGTTGACCAAAACTAATGTACTCCGTCATGTTCTACCAAATGATAATTTCACTAGACTTTTAAACAAAAGCTTGGGGTTTTTATCTACATTGTAAATCTTTCGCTAGATTACATACTATAAAACCATTGCAAATAAATTTTTGGTTATTAGAAATTTTCAGATTTTTTGTTTGCAATATTTTTCAAGTATGTTTTCATTAAATATGATAATTCTATTTTGATTAATTATAGTAAATTGCTATATTTTCTTTTTTCTGTTGTTTAATTTAGTATAAAATTAATGTGTTACCTACTTACATTACATGATTAAGAGTATTCTTTTATTTTGTAATTTAAAATCAATTTAAACACACTTATGTCAAGGAATAAGTTTTAAGAATTAAGTGCAGATAGTACTGTAATATTTATTTATATAGAGATCTATAAATAATGTAAATATGTATGTCTGTTCTGAGTGGAGGCAGGTACTTCATTTCTAGAGTCCTATTTTAAGATATTTTGGATTGGTTTATGTGAAAGAAACTGCAGTTGAATGATCAAGTACATGTAGAATATTTGAATAAAGGTGGTGCCAATTAGTTGGAAAATTAATAATTTTAATAGTCATTTTACCTGCACCTCATTAAATATTTTAAATGGACCAGTTCATTTATTATTTTTTGCGAAAATTTCAAAATATGTACAGACAGAATAGCAAAAATTGAACACCATGATCTTATGACACAGACATGCCAGCTGATCTTGGTCTGAACTAGTCACATGGTTTGGTCTGAACTAGTCACATGGTCAGTTACTGCCAGCAGCCACCTAAAGGTAAAGAAAAAGAGGGAGGGGATCATTATGTTTTGATGTAATTATTCAACTGTGTGACATATTGATAGAAACAGTGCCTAGAATATAGAAAACACAGGGGGTTTTATGTTTGGTCCTACTTAAAATATATCTTGTTTACATATGCCACAGAAAGTTAGTGTTAATGGTGAAACATAGGTTGAAAATGTTGTTCTAAGGTTTTAATTTTGCACTCAAATTGTTTTTTACCATTATTGGATTATTGATTTTTAAAAAGTCATTTAAAAAATTGTGTTTTAAAAGCAGATTTGAACATAATTTTTCTTACTGCTTGTAGTATACATATTACGCTATCATCCAAGGAAATTCCCGCTATCATCCAAGGAAATGCCAACTGAATTTTAGTTATTTAGAATTTGACCCGAATCATGAATAGATATAAAAAAAATGTTCAGAACGTTTGTATCATTTAACCTCTTTCCCTGCTGAATTTATATACTAGTATTGTCCTCCTTTTGGTTTTTGTAGTTTAGTATTAGTAGGAACTAAGAAGAGGTATAGATATTCCAAAGTTTTAAACAATACAATATCAATGTGGAGAAACTAGATCAGGGCCTGTTCTGACTGCAGAGCATGGTTTGACTATTGATGTACAGGCTTCTCTACCATCATGCCATCACAAACCTGTCAATGTCCCTGTTAGTGTTTAGAGACTTGTGAGTAATCTTAATGTACATTCAAACAGGTATTTTATATAAAAAGAAGTAATTTTAAACGAACAATTGTGAAAATAAAAAAAAAAAGTGACTAACTTCTTTATCCATGTCATGACCTTAGAATAGCTTCAGCTGAAATTATCACTAAGTTATCTCCGTACAGAATTTGCATTAATGCAATGTAGTGTTCAAGTAAAATGGTTACAAAAAATAACAGTCCCTAGTCACAGCCAACTGATTGCCAAAATATTTCTTCTTCTGTTATGTTAATCGACATAGTGTTTTTTTTCAATGCAGGTCCTTGAGACTGATTTGATTGTAATTTATGTAGATTTATGAAACCAAAGGTTATTTGTTTTGTATATAGAAATGTAAGTTATATTCTGTGTGATGTATATGTTATACATTTTACACCAAATTATTTATAGACTGCTTAATAAAAGGTGTCAGTAGATTTCTATGGGACAAATTAGTATGACTATCCCATAAAAAGTTGCAATATAGCTTCAATTGTTTAAAAATGACTTTAAACTCAACGAATGGAAGAAATTCTTTCGAGAATATTTTTAGATTGAATATATGAAATTTTAAAACCCTTTTATTGTACACCATACACCAAAGTATATTATATTTATTTTTTTTCTTTAGAAATATGTCTCTTTTTGTACACCATGTTGTAAGGTTTATGTTGTCAGAAATGTTTGTAAATTGAACTGTGATATTTATAGGATCGAGTGACTGTTGTCAGGTGTTGTTGTAAAAATTCAATTGGTACACACAATGATCAAAAATATATCCTAACTATAATTTGAGCCGCGTCACGACAAAACCAACATAGTGGGTTTGCGACCAGCATGGATCCAGACCAGCCTGGGCATCCCCGCAGTCTGACCAGAATCCATGCTGTTCGCTATCAGTTTCTCTACTTGTAATAGAGTTGTTAAGCGAACAGCATGGATCCTGATCAGACTGCCCGGATGCGCAGGCTGGTCTGGATCCATGCTGGTCACAAACGCATTATGTTGGTTTTATCGTGACGTGGCTCATTTGATCAAATGTGATTGTGTTATGTTTTAATTTCACAACTAATGAAAAACAAAGTGAAGATTTTATTTTTATAGTTATGTTTATAATATGTACGTATATACATATATTTGTGATTATGCAGACAAATTGATATTTTGATGTAATATATGCATTAACTTATACTGAAATAAAACTATTTTAGTATTTAACAGAGTTATTATTTTTTGTTTATGGTGCAGATTGCTTACGTTTAAATTGTTTTTGACAGTCAGCACAATGCTCGTCTTCAACCGTACACAGTATGCTTTTATTTGGTTTTTATCACAAATAATTTTATCATCCACCTTAGGTAATTGTGTGTGAATGAAAAGAATATGTTCTGTCATTGGAAGTAAGTTATAGATGCTATTTATAGGGTTACTTGCATTATGACCTTAAAACCAGTCTTACATTCAGCTTGCTATAGAAAATGACAATTAAATGTTGATAAATTATTTCAAAGTGCATGTTGATTAAATGATAGACTTAACAGGATCTGATATTAGTCCACATATTTTAGTACAGAACATGATAAACATTTTGCTTTGAGATCTACAGAGATATAAAAGTATGTTTTCTATCTATTTATAAGCTTTGATGCACAGATTACTTAATTTACCTCTATGCAAATTTCATAGGGTATAAGCCTTAAGCCTCAACGGTACATTGGTTATATTCAAAATCGCTATATTACTTCCGCATTCTCTTTTTTTAACAGATAAAAAAGGTACAAATAATTTCAAATGTATGTATCAGGTTTAATTAGTTTTAATATCAGTTTACATGGCAACTTTACAATTGTATCACATTTTCATTTACAAAATCTGTCACAACCTTATTCTTAAGATTAACTTGTATTTCATGTATTAAGACTAATAGTTTAGGTTATTTTACAATTCATTTTTATGCCCCCCTTCGAAGAACAGGGGGTATATTGTTTTGCTAATGTTGGTCTGTCTGTCAGTCTGTCCATCTGTAGACCACATGGTTTCCGCTGATTATCTTGAAAACTATATATCACAAAGTCTTCATATTTCACATAGCGATTGGTCATAACTAGAAGATAAACCCAATTGATTTTGGTGTCAAAGGTCAAGGTCACAGGGGCCTTAAATGTCAGAATTGTTTCTGCCGATTTATCATGAAAAGTATTCATCACAAAGTTCTCATATTTCACATATTGATTGGTCATAACTAGTAGATGAACCCTATTGATTTTAGGATCACAAGGTCAAAGGTCAAATTCACAGGGGCCTTAATTATCAAAATGGTTTCTGCTTATTATCTTGAAAAGTATTGATCACAAAGTTGTCAAATTTCACATAGTGATTGGTCACAACTAGTAGATGACCCCTAAAGATGTTGGAATCACTTAGGGTCAAAGTTCTAGGTCAAAGGGACCTTAAATGTCAGAATGGTGTCCAGTGATTATCTAGAAAAAGTATTTATCACAAAGTCTTCATATTTCACATATTGATTGGTCATAACTAGTAAATGACCCTTATTATCCCCCCGCCGATGGAATCTGGAGGGGGATATAGTTTTGGCGTTGTCCGTCCGTCCGTCCATCCGTCCGTCCGAATTTCATTTCCGGAGTAGTTCTCTGCAACTACTGGCTGGAATTCAACGAAACTTTATGGGAATCATCAATATCAAGAGGAGATGCGCATATCGTCGGCTTGTTCCGGTCCGACCCTTTAACTCAGAGTTATGGCCCTTGATTAGTTATGTAGTATGCATATAGAGTAAAAATCGTTTCAGGAGTAGTTCTCTGCAACTACTGGCTGGAATTCAACGAAACTTGATGGGAATCATCAATACCAAGAGGAGATGGGCATATCGTCGGCTTGTTCCGGTCAGACACTTTAACTCAGATTTATGGCCCTTGATTAGTTATGCAGTATGCATATGGAGTAAAAATCGTTTCCGCGCTACTTCTCTGCAACTACTGGCTGGAATTCAACGAAACTTTATGGGAACCTTCAATACCAAGAGGAGATGCGCATATCGTCGGCTTGTTCCGGTCAGACACTTTAACTCAGAGTTATGGCCCTTGATTAGTTATGCAATATGCATATGGAGTAAAAATCGTTTCCGGAGTAGTTCTCTGCAACTACTGGCTGGAATTCAACGAAACTTTTTGGGAATCATCAATATCAAGAGGAGATGCACATATCGTCGGCTTGTTTCGGTCAGACCCTTTAACTCAGAGTTATGGCCCTTGATTAGTTATGTAGTATGCATATAGAGTAAAAATCATTTCCGCACTACTTCTCTGCAACTACTGGCTGGAATTCAACGAAACTTTATGGGAACCTTCAATACCAAGAGGAAATGCGCATATCGTCGGCTTGTTCCGGTCAGACACTTTAACTCAGAGTTATGGCCCTTGATTAGTTATGCAGTATGCATATGGAGTAAAAATCATTTCCGCGCTACTTCTCTGCAACTACTGGCTGATATTCAACGAAACTTTATAGGAACCTTCAATACCAAGAGGAGATGCGCATATCGTCGGCTTGTTCCGGTCAGACACTTTAACTCAGAGTTATGGCCCTTGATTAGTTATGCAGTATCCATATAGAAAAATATTTGTTTTCTCGCTACATCTCTGCTACTACTGGCTGGAATTCAATGAAACTTTATGGGATACTAAGAGGAGATGTGCATATAGTCGCCTTGTTCCAGTCAGATACTTATAACTCAGATTTATGGCCCTTGATTAGTTATGTAGTATGCATACATCTCATTGGCATTTCCAGATTTTACTATTTAACACAAAGTTATGACTCTGTTATTGCCCTGAATATTTATCAAGTTCAAAGAATATTACTGTTTATGCCATGATTAATATATAAAATAAGCCTTATGTCTTCAGTTGTTGTGTTAATAATAACCAGTACTCGGCGGGGGATATAAATTCAACGAATTTGCTTGTTGATTTTGGGGTTACTAGGTCAAAGGTCACAGGGGCCTTAAATGTCAAAATGGTTTTCGCTGATTATCTTGAAAAGTATGGTTCACAAAGTTGTCATATTGCGCATAGTGATTGCTCATAACAAGCACATAGACACGTTGTTTCTGCAGATTTATCATGAAAAGTATTCATCACAAAGTCTATATATTTCACATATTGTTTGGTCATAACTAATAGATGGACCCTATTGATTTTGGGTCACTAGGTCAAAGGTTAAAGTCACAGGGGCCTTAAATGTCAGAATGGTTTCAGATCATTATCTTGGTTACAATTCATCACAAAGTATTCATATTTCACATATTGCTCATAAATAGAAGATGACCCTTATTGATTTTGAGGTCACTAGGCTAAAGGTCAAGGTCATACAAACATGTAGAGGACTTGAATGTTAATATGATTTCCACCTATTTTCTCGGTTACTTTTTATAACAAAGCCTTTATATTTCACATATTGATGGGTCATAAATAGTTGATGACCCTAAAGATTTTGGGATCACCAGATCAAAGTTCAAGGTCACAAGGTCTTTCAATGTTAGAGGATTTCAGCTCATTATCTTGAAAGATAATTATCTCAAAGTCTTCATATTTCACATAGTGATTGGTCATAACCAACAGATGATCCGTATTACTTTTGGGGTCACTAGATCACAGGGGCCTTAAAATGTCAAAGTAGTTTCCGCTTATTATCTTGAAAACTATTCATCACAAAGTCTTCATATTTCTAATATTGATTGGTCATAACTAGTTAGTGACCCCTATTGATTTTGTGGCCACTTTGTCGAAGGTCAAGGTCACAGGGGCCTTAAATGTCTTATTATCTTGAAAACTATTTATCGCAAATTCTTCATTATTTTTCTTTTTTCGATAATTTAATACGTCAATGTACCCATTTATGGCAAGTTTCTCTAACAAAATTACCAATAATGTGAGTCAAGCTTGAAGGGCTAGAAAAGGGGTCATATGTGTCGTTCGAAATTTCTTATTTTTTACAAAATGTCATGTGTATACTTTCCTAATAATAAATAAATAATAAAGTTCTAGTCAAGACACTAAAAGCAAGAGAATATCATTAGTTTGACCTTGACGGTCAAAATCAATTAAAGGTCAACGTGTCATCTACGATAGAATATAACAAACAAATTCATCAAGGACCTGACATAGTAATTTTGGTGTTTTTTTAATAGAAATCCAATGGAGGAGTATAAAAGCTACGATTAACATCTGGGATAAAAACAATAAACTTCTAAACCACAACAATATGTAATTATCTTCATTGATCTGGAAAAGGAAATAATAATTTAAAGATACCCATTTTGTTGGATTTGCAGATATCGTGTTGTTTGTCAAGCATTACTGATGTCCCTAAAATAACAATTCGTTTTTTTCTACAAATGTTCGTGAAACAAACATGACATCGGAATGTTCAATAACTAGATACAATGAATCTCAGCAATATTTTGTGTATACATTAATAAAATGTTTACTACTAAATATACCTGTGTATAATTAATCTTGTAAGATAATGACATAGTTCTCCATCGTTAAAGTGATGTACGTGATTTTTCTGGATTTTAATACCCATTTGAAAGGAACCCAACGTACTGAGGTCTAAAAGCCTCAAAGTATGAAATTTAGATTTCATTCATTGATCAGCTGGGGTTCTTAAAACAAAAAGATATGCCAAAGATTAGTAAGAAATATTCTCAGAAATAATTTGCAAATCTGTTTTTGTAATGGTTTAAGCCCGCTTTTATTTAGTTTATTTTTTTTGGCTTATTTTTCACGATTAGAATAATTATCCTGGATAAACGGAGTGAACGAATGATCTGAAATTTTGCACACAGTTTATTGGTTAAATTTTCATCAAAATGAACATTAATCTCAAAAACATATTTTCAGTCCCATCATGTCAAAAAAACCTCTGTGGAGTCCCTTTAAAACACGTTTTGTCCTATTGCTGCTGTAGATTCACCTCGCGGGCTTTTCTGGATCATTATTTATGACCGACTACCAAACAAATATGATTCCTTAATCACTGGGTAGAGATTAATGACCATTACAATGCCCGAGATCAATTGTCTCGGAGAAATTACGTCTCGCCCGAGGATCACACCACTGACCCCTGGAGTATCTGAGGCTCTCTCTCATATTGAGCTAAGCAAGCGGAACAGGTGTACTGAAACACGAAAAAAAAAAAAAAAAAAAACACCAACAGATAAAAACAAGTATGAAATAAACATTAATCATATGATTATTATCATAGACGGTACTAGTAAGTTAGATGTTACCGACATAGCCGAGTATTTTTGTATAAATACCAAACTTTAAGCTATTGGTTTATTTTGACCTTATTGGTGTATATTTTGATAGTTTATATGATGCGTTAAATTTCTTCCTGCTTAGTCTAAACATCGTCATAAACTTCCGCTTTAACACAAATAGGCCTTATATACTCCTCATTAGATGTGCATGAGAAGTTGCGTATTCATTTCCTATCATTTTCATCTAAAAAAACAAACACTTCCTATCATTTTCATCTAAAAAAAAAAACAAGTACTTTACTAATATATCCCCTTTTTTTACCCTGGTTAATATTTTACGTGATCTTTTTTTTACATAAAAGGACAGTTAAAATCTAGCGATTTACTTACACCGGGTACGCTTTTCGTTGGTGACGCAAATAAGGACCAAGTTTGATAAACATATATAGCAACAGTTTCATTTGTAAAAAAGTATGAAATAAACATACCGGCTAATTAATTTATACCATTTTGAATCATATTGTGATATTCTATATTGTTATATTTCATAATAAGGCGAAATGAATGGATCAAATGTAACTACAACGGAGTCAACTGTTGTACGAGCGAAAGAAAGTGGGTATGATTTACCTGTGTATGGACTTGCGACTGGCTCGTTTTACTATATCCACATTCCCGCGTTATGCTGTATCTTTCTCAGCTTCTGTAGCGTTGTCGCTGTTATAATATTATCGTTCAGGAGGAAAAGTTTCAGGAAATTCTTCGTAGATTGGTCCAAGAGCGAGCGTTTCATTATTTACCTTGCTTTGTGTGACGGCGGCTACAATGTGTTCCATAGCGTTGATCATTTGCACTATGTTATATCTCAGGACCACGTTCATCCTAAAGAACTTTGTGAGTTTTACGGTTTCACTTTGGCAGTGTGTATCATGGGACAAAATCTGATGGTGAATATAGTGGCAATAAATGCATTTATGTTAATGTATTTTGACAAGAACCTTGATTTTGGGAAGCGGGATTGGAAGCTGTTGTCATGGACGTTTGGTTTGCCTTTCGTTGGTGCGACAATTGCTGGAATAGCAGGGCAGTTAGGACCAAATGGATCTTTGTGAGTATACTTATTAAAACTATTAAGAGTTCCGAATAAACATAGTCCAGTGATATTTCAGATTTATATACTGTACGTTAGTATTGTAAACTTTAAAGTATTTTTGATATATTTTTAAAAAGTGATTATTTAATTTAAATTTAAAATTTGAGACAGTAGGAAAATAACCAAAAAGCGGATCATTGCCAGTATTGTCTCAGATTTACGTTATTCTATAAGTTATCAGTCTATTATAACTAAACAATCATTGAATCTTTAACATTTTTTTTCAGTTGTTACTTTGACGGTGTGAAAGGCGTGACGGCAAACATTTGTTTTACTACCGTTCCTTTACTCATTATAATCGTCATGAACATCGTTATGTACATTTTAACATGGAAACGTATCAAAGACAAGACGAGAAGTCTCAGGATGTCAATGAGGCAAAGGAAAAGTTCAGGAAAAAATCTTAGTAGTTCTCAGCGTGCTGCTAGGACCATGTCAATGTTTGTTGTGGCGTTTCTTATCCAATGGTGGTCTCTGGCGTTATTTGGTGTATGGGCACTGGTGGATGCAGATGTACCGCAGGCCATTCACCATTTTGTCACCACTTTTACGAATATCGGAGGCTGCTTGAATCTAGGCATTTATTTGATCATGAGGTACAAATTCCAAAAATCAGACTCGGAGGAAACTCGGAGTGTGGGAAATACGATCGGGTCGATCGATCAGAGGACAGATAACGGGGAAAACTCACAAACTGACGCATCGCTGAAAGACTCTGATCTTTAGAGTGTTCATATTTTGAAGCAAATAATGTTATATTAATTATTTAGATTCTACAATCATATCAACAGACAGAATACTGTATTATCGTGTGTTGGTTTCTATACTACAATTTGCATGCCTAGCATAAAAGCCTATTTGACTCTCATAACCTATTTTCTATTTAATGTTTACAGTGTTTTAGAGACTCCACAATTGCTAATCATGTATCATTTTCATAGCTTGTTGTTGCTAACTTTATGTACATTTTTGTAGATTATAAAATAATGCGTGAAATGTTTGTGATGTGATAGGAATTTAACGCCAGATAAAGTCGTTCTGAAGGTAATTTAACGTGATGTATGTTTATCATGTTTACCAAAATATGATTTTAGTGGACATACATTTTAATTTTTTTACATGTAATTTCAAATTTCAAATATTTCAAATATTTTTATTTGTATTATATCAAATGTAAAGTACATGCTGTGTATCTATACACCACCATAGCTTCCTGATTTGATAAATTTGAAATTAATTGCTACGTATTATACGGTGCGTACTCATATAGATTATTAGTTATAAAGATCATTGACATTTTATATGGCCCTATATAAACGGCTATTTGTAAATATAACCCGAGCCGTTAGGCGAGGGTTACATTGAAAACAGCCGTTTATATACGGCCATATAACCTGTCAACAATCTTTATAACGAATTTATAATACAGTAAGCATCAGTTTTGGAGCAAAAAAGTAAAAAAAAAAAAACTTTAAACTTTACGATTATCCAATGAAAAATGACGTTACAAACGCGCAGTATTATAAAACCTCTGAAACATTAAAAGCATGTTTTTTTATTTACAAAAAAGACTTGTAGCAATTATCAATATCTTCAAATATCAAACTTATGCATAGTATATCTTTAAATGTTAAAGTTTTCTCTTTTTTGTTATGTCTTCAAAATGCTATACAATATTGCGATAAGTTACACCAATCACCGCCTCGGCATGTTCTGTGAAGTAAATTTTTATAATAAATGAACAAGTGGCTTGTTTATGTAGACATCATATATATTATGTATAATGTTTCAATTTACATGTATTATCTTCAGCCATATTTCAAAATCACATGTGTCTTTAATGATAAGTAGTCAAACTGTAATAAATTTCGACCAAAATACAGCTGTTTAAGTCAATATGGAAGAAATGCGCATAAATTGTTTGCAACATTTCAAAAGAAGCAAGTAGACCTACACGACTTGACCAACAGTGCGACAATTTTGCTGTTACGTGTTCGAGATCTCAATCACTCGGCATGTGCATCAGTTAACATTCACTTCAACAATGTACATACTTTTTGTTTATGAAAATGTTTGTGTTAATATATCTTTTAGAAATTAAACAATACTTATGTTATATTTATGATATTTTCTCCTAAATTGAAATATAATTCTATATATGAAAATCAACGTTTATTGTTTTTAGGCAGTAATGATGTTCAAAAAATACGGAAAAGCATCATCTTTATCTGAACTTACTTATTTGTTCAAGTATTGTACTTGAAATTGAAAACACTTTGCACCTTTTAAATAATATTTTACTCTATGTCGTATTGAAAACAGGGTATTTGAACACAAATTATCATCGGTGTTGGCATTGAAGATGGATTTGAACCTAGCAGATTAGCAAAAAACGAAAAACAGCAACAAAAAACAAACAAACAAAATAAAAACAAACAAACAAAAAAAACATGGACATTGGAGAACAAAATACATCTCCGTGTTACTATTATTCCTTACTGAGTACATGTACACTAGAAAGAGGTTTCTATGCGACATTTAGTATTTTACGCATTCCTTTCCAATTCTCAAACCTTTTTCGATTGTTTGTTTTAGGGAGAAGATAAAACAAACTAGATGAATTTGTTCTAAATTTGTGTAGAATTTTTAAGTATGAAGTGCGTGTGTACTTCACATAAACAATAATTTTTTTAGATCAAAGAAACAAAAGAGCTATCAATTAGATCTGAAGCTTAAGATATTTTTCGTTTTGGAAAGCGGTACAATGAAAACAATACTGTACGTGTAATAACAATTGTAAAATGAAATTTTAGGACACGGTCGCATATTTTAGTTTAAACTAAGTAAAGTGCTTAAATATTCAGATTTTAAAGTTGATTAATATGGTGGCATATTTCTGCAACCAGATAACCATATAACTAACTAGTTAATTAAGAGGTTTACTAGTTACATTACTAGTTAACCTCTTAATTAACTAGTTAGTTATGTGGTTAACTAGTTTCGTAACTAGTTATTTTTTCAATAAATATAAGCTCATAACGGGAAATAAATGCATTTTAGTGCCTACAACTGCCATCCTTTTATTATTTTACCAGCTTAATATCAAGTGATTAACTAGTTACGTACATAGTTAACCTCTTAATCAATTAGTTAATTAAGAGGTTAACTAGTTAAGTAATTAGTTAACCTCTTAATTACTAGTTAGTTGCGTGATTAACTAGTTAGGTAACTAGTTAATCACTTAACTTATTAGTTAATTAAGAGGTTAACTAGTTAAGTAACTAGTAAACCTCTTAATTAACTAGATAGCTGGTAAAATTATAAAAGAATTACAGTTGTAGGCACTAACATGCATTTATTTCCCGTTATGATCTTTTATTTATTGAAAACATTATTTAGTTACGTAACTAGTTAACAACATAACTAACTAGTTAATTAAGAGGTTAACTAGTTACGTAACCAGTTAACCTCTTAGTTAACAAGTTAGTTATATGGTTATCTGGTGGCAGAAATATGCCACCATAGATTAACTATCTCATTTATGTAAGAAAGTTGATCATGTTATTTACAGTGACTTTTCACCATGAGCTTTTCTTAGTACCACGATGCTTCTCTTCAAATCTTACAAAAAATGTTAAAATATCAGATGTAGTTGAAAGAGTGTTAGTCAAATTAATGTTTCACCGTTGCTCTTAATGACATCCGAACAAATATTTCATTTCAAGCACGTCTTCGTCTTTCAAAGAAAATGTTGTAGGAATTCAAATGTCACAAATCTGTCACGCAGTTTGAGTTTGTATTTATTACATGCTTTTCGGATGTTTATAGAAATACATCAGTGAAATAACCCCCATCCCCCGATCTTTTCACTGTTTGAAACAGTGAAATTACTAATTTGATATTTTCACTGTTTTGAATTTAAACTTCAGTGAAATACCAGTGTGAATAGTACCGGAAACCAACTTACTGACGTGATGTCGTAAATAATATCATTTTGTATTATTATATCGCGTGCTTTTCATTTGCCATTAGGTTAAAATGTCTTCTTGAACGTTTCTTTGCATATAATAAAAAGAAAATTTGTTTAGTTCAGTATAAGATTGAAATATGTTTCACCTCGTGAACACCAAAAGTAGCTGCGACACTCATGAAATATACATTTTGATGCTCACTCGGTGAAATATATTCCGATCCTATACAGAACTAATATCCTCTATTTATCCTGCCGTACCGACGTTACACACGCCCATTTTAGATAGTGTATAAGCAAATTATCTTAAATCTATAACATGTGATGAATATAGATATTTACTCTTGCTAAACGAGCATTTTTGCCTGTTACAGTTAAAGAAAAAGACCCAAAACTTGTTGCAGCCTAACCTGAGCACAAATATTCAATAAAAATGCCAAAATTCTCACCTTACACTAGATGACTTCTGAAGAACACCTGCCAGCCTGTAGAGTAGCTTCCTGAAAAAAAAATAAACACACTTATATACTTCAATCAATTTCTGTTTCGCGCCTAATGTCGGCTCGTAAACGATACCATTAAACTGACCTGCTTTTAATCTAACTTTGACGTTATTATCTTTGGAAACCAAATGGTAAACAAATTTGCTACTAACATGTTGCATTTCATTTTACAATGAGATGGTTTAGATTGCTTCAATTAAATCAACTATTTCAGGTAAAATGTCGCCTTGAAAGACTTAAAATTTGTTGATTTTGCACGGTATAGTAAAAACTTCCATTTTGCGGCTGCCGGTTTCAAACCAATACTTATTTCAGCATTTTAACTGGCGTTTAATCATTTCAATAACTGTAATTATTTTTTGTCGCGTCTCTTTCGTAAGGTCATCCAATCATACGTCAAATAGTTGATGTTGAAAAATAATTATGTAACAAATCATGAATTTTGTTACTCTTTAAAATGATATGTAATATTTATGTGCTTCCTATAATCATCGACGTATTGCATATCTGGCGAAATATCTGTTCATGTTTGATAATAATCTTTCTATAACTCTGGCCTAAAATTCTATTTTGGTAATTATTTTGAGAAATTGCATTCTATTAGACTCGGAAACTCATAATCTTATCAGTAGATTGATTTGTGTAAAAAGTCAAACATATGACAACATTAGTAATTGTTTATTTTACTATTTTCACATTGTAAATTTCTACTTTTTACTGGTGCCGTTCTGCCAAATTATAGCTAGGCAGCTTCTATTCATGGAGTAACTTAATATCCAATGAGTTTCGTAATCCTCTGCGCCAACATGCAAGTGACTTAAGTCAGTGATCTTAACATGTTCATTCTTGATAATGGTCTGCGCTATTTAAAAAAAATAACAACAAAAAACAAAAAAGCACCAAAAACAACAAAAACTTATTAAAACCGTATAAATAAAAACTCCTTTTAACTTTCTAACTTATTTAAACAATAGAGAAATTAACAAGATTATAAATATGTTTGGTCTACTAGTGTTTTGAAATAATATATTGATTTTGATTTTATTAAACACTGTATTTCAGAAACAAAACTATTTAGTTTTTTGTGCAGTATACAAATGATGAAATATAACAAAGTTTTGAATTTATCGATCCTTGACAAAACCATTTATTTTACCTTCTAGTCAGAACAGAAAATAATGACATTGATTGTAACAGTTTATAATGTCTGGTGGGTATACTGTTTTCAATATAGTTTGTTCCTGCTAACTTTGAACACTCCCTTTCGAGGTCAATGATTCTAACACACCTCTAATCTAGATAAGAATTCTCCAAAGATCTGTTGCTTACTGGGTGATAATTGCAAACAGAGCTTAACGTTGAATCAATACCTTAATATGAACAAAATGTTTTGCTAAATCTACCATTAATAGATTTATCATTTGCTAGAAAGGAAAGCGTTTGTTGATAAGTAATTCACTGACGTAATATTTCATCCAAGTGACAACAATCAAACAGTTATGGTCAAACAGTTGTAATGTTAATTGTAGAATAACATTTTTTTTTGGAAAAAATATCACTGAAATAGAAATTAAGAAGCGTTCATTTTATGAAATAATAATAAGTTATTTGTTCAAATGAAAGGTATGGATAACTTGACAAATATTTCAAAAATTTCAAGCGAATTGAAAGACGGGTATGATTTACCGGTGTACGGTCTGGATAATGGACTATTTTATTATCTGCATGTTCCAGCATTGCTTTGTATCCTTTGTAGCTTTACTTGTGCATGCACTGTAATCATCTTGTCATTCCGACATAAAGATTATAGAAAATTCTTGTCCTGGACAAAGAGTGAACGGTTTGCCGTATATTTGGCGATATGTGACGGCGGGTTCAACACATTTCATAGCATGGATCACTTGCAGTATGTAATTACACAGGACCATTGAACTCTGCGAATTTTATGGCTTTATGCTGGCAGAATTTGTTGCTGCTCAGATTTTGATGGTGAATGTTATCGCTATAAATGCGTTTATTCTGATGGTTTTTAAGAAGAAAATAAATTTTGGGAAACATGACTGGAGACTTTTGGTTTGGACTTTCGGACTTCCCTTTGTAGGTTCCACTGCAGTTGCTGTAACAGGGCAACTTGGACCAAACAGAATATCGTAAGATATATGTTCTTTTTAATTTAATTTTCTTTTGCTTTTTTAAGTATCTTCATAATTATCTTCTTTATATTTCTATCGGAAACAAGAGTTTTACATATAAATTAGCATTGTTATCATAATAACGTACACCAGTTTATTTTGTCCATTGATTTTTAAATATAATACACATGTATCTAATGTACACAAATGTTATGCAAAGTGGTAATTTGTATCAGAACTCAAACATCGATACCTCATATTAATGAATTCAACACAAAAGGAATTTAGATCTTAATAATATTTGCTTTGTAAGGGATTACATCAATGAAGCTTCTGAAAGTGAATTAACATAATTATTTTAAAATATTAAGTAATGGTTCCTATTTTGTATTCTTTATTTAAGTACTTGAAAGAATGAAGCGAATATGCTGCAAATAAGGGTTAAATTATCCAAAATGAATTTGACATTATGATTATATGATTATAGAACGTAGCACATATACTACACTGTTT